GACCATTAGCTCTGCACGTGCAACGCGTCGCTGCCCGCAGACAGATTTGGGCTCGTGGTTTGTTTCAAGCCATTGGTTCTGGCTGATTCCACAACAGGCAGATGAGAAGCATCAGGAAAATCTATAACCAATTTCTAAACCTGCAATTTGCCAAGCTAATCAATACTAATTATTACTGGCCAGTAATTGTGAATTAAAACACCCAGCAATGTTATAGAAACCTCCACGCAACTCTCCCACCCTCACACAGCGCTGTGCTACCAAACTCAGCTTGCTCTTCAGCTATTAAAAAAAAAAAAGGCTACCCTTATTTTTCATTACAAGTGGTATCAGTGGTCTTTCATTAGGCCTGGCTGGAAAACCCCAAGACTTCTTATGAAGAAACAGCACTACGTTTTCCCTGAAAGTTAAACCACACAAACTGAACGTAAACACTTGTGCAGGACAGAAAAACTGCAAAAGGAGTACCAACATTTCTTCCCCTATGATTCCATCACATCAGTGCTGAAAGGCAGAGTAAAATCCCAGCCATATATTTTGCACTTGCAAACTCAGACCATGTCATTGGGAACGGGGCAGCCCCTTTCTCCCCACAAGCTGACTCCGGCTTGCCCCCGCTCCCGCAGGCAGGGGAGGCAGCTGAGCGCGGTGCTTGGCTGCCTAACGCCAGCAGACAGGACTGAAAAAATGTGGCACTGAAAAGCGTACGGGTCTCCACCCTGAAACGCCCTGGCTCTCACTCAGCACCGGCTCACAAATCAAGCCATTAATACAGACATCCCTCCCTCCCCCCCTCAACGTAGCAGCCCCCTTCTACGGTACCTCACTTGGGCATAGCAAAACCTGGCGGCTTTTGCCATTTTCCATAAAACCAGGCATCTGTTTTTAGAGTACCCAAGTCACAGCAAACTCGAAAAATCAGTCCAATATATTAGGGAGGGAAACTGGGAGGTTAATCCTAGATTTGCTCTCTGCCCAGCACTGCTACATGCACAAGTATAAAATATCCATTATTCATTAGCATCACAGTTGTGTGGAGCTCAATCTAGATTAAACAAAATAAAGGGGCCCCAGACAGCACCATTTGCATTGTTAAGCAGGCGCTTTTCTTCAGCCTTCAAATGGGAGACTTTTCTAAATGGAAATGATGGGGAAATTTGGACAGATGTTCACTTAACTATTTAAACAGTTAGCTTAAGAAACATGAAAAATGTATTTGGCATCGTATTCACCTGTCTCCTTTCAGGGGTTTGGGGGGTAAACCAATTGTTAAACAGCTTTGACTGTTTGCATAAGATCTGAAGCTTATGTTCTGTCCGGCTGAAATCGTGTTGCCTTCTAATGTCTACATAAACGTAGCTTCCAGCTAGTCAGCGTGCTAATCTTTTTCTCTTCTATCAAGTTTCACAGTCCTCCATACCCTCTCTTTCCCAACAGATGAACATTTCACACTTATTCTACCACTTCCTAATTTTAATCTGATTTTCAGGGACTGATATAGAGCCCTGTATATTCACCATGCTTCTAAAAATACGCTGTAACTTGTAGCTCAGTGAACATGATTTATTTTTTTTTAAGTCTGCTGGAAGAAAAATCAAAATGAACACAGACTTTTGCCTTTTTTTTGTTTGCTTGTAAAAAAACCTGCCACCTCTGATACCTACTTACCCAGAAGCTACTTGAGCTGAAACTTTCTGAGGTGGGGAGCTTAACACTATTGGAGGAGGAAGAGAAGACAAGGAGCAGGAGGAAAAATCTTCCACCCCAAGCCCCATCTGTGGTTAAATTTAAAATAACCCCACATGAACAAACTGATCTGCATTCTGTCCCCCAGACACCTTCAGAACAGATGCAATACTCTCTCGCACATTCACGCACACAAAGTTGAAGCGCATTAGAAAAATCTATCAGAAGATGCTCAGCATCTACTTACCAGCTTGGAGCCACTGGCATAAAAGAAGCTGGAAATACAGAAAGGTTTCACTTTGGAGTTGTTTTGCTGCTTCTAAAAAAACCCCAATTTTTTTCATCTCCCTTTGAAGTTAAAAGGCAACAATTTTTAAGTACAGATTTATTCTCCCTTATGTAACAGGAAGACCTAGCCAGCTTGTAAATAAGCATAGACTATGCAGATTTAAAATTTAGCACAATTAAACTTTTACCCTGTGGTAGTAATTATGTTTAATGGCTCTTAGCCTGAACTTAACCATGTCTATTGTTGTCAGCCAGTCTAAAAGCAGGAGTTTGTCCAAGGACAATTTTCTGTAGTTTATAGGCACACTAAAAACCCCACTACGTGCTGTTCTCATTGGCCATTGATGTCAGTGTGTATAGTAAAAATTAAAGCTAATTGGCATACAGGAGCAGCAGTGAATGCAAATGAATTAATGGGAAAAGAAGGGAGCGCTTCTGGAAGTGGTAGGCAACTGTCGAAGGATGCTTTTTATGTAGTCTGGGCTGGGCTGGGCTAAAGAGTAGTCTTCTGCACGATAATCCACACCTCACCAGCTCCGTGAATATACCTGAACTTCATTCAAACTACAGTAAAGTCAACAGCACCCTGCAAGTTTTTTGGGGAAAAAAGAGTGGTAAAGGGTCCTAACCGTAGGGAAAACAGGAAGAAACTTCTTGTATGAACACATTAAGTTTAGCACCTTTTAACAGATTTTTCCTTCTCTGACCAAAACACGCAGGGTGGCTAAACTGAGAACCTGATTGCCTATTTCTGTCACCACTAGAAACAACAGTCTGTTTTAGTCATTGCCTACAAGGAGAGAGTCCCCATTTCTTCTCCTCTCTCTAGCCTGCTGTCTGACTAGCTAGCAGCTTGCAATTGACAAAGAGGGAGAAAATATCCCCTCCATAGAAAGACTGAAAATTTTGGACCTGTTGCCTTCACAGGAGACAAAAAAAAAGAGGACCCAGGACAGGCACATATAAATAATGAGTGGTACAGAAAGGATAGGTTCGGAGTGTCAATCGGATTTTTTTTTAAACAATGCAAGAACAAGACAAGTTCAAAAATTGAACAGCTGAGTTGAGACTGCTAATTCCCCCAAACAAGAGGCTTTGTCAACACTGAAAGGTAGGAATTCTGATTTGAAAGAGGACTAAACATCTACAGATAAATGCCTACATTTGTAGATATTGTGTACAGCTACATATTTCTCTGTATATTTGTACATCCACATCCTCTGGATATACAAGTTTTTCTAGAGCTACCAAACCCCATGCTCATATCCTCTCCAGCTAGTAGGCGAAACAGGTTTTCCCATACACTTTCTCTATATGCCTGCTGCCATTTATTTCCTAGCTCCATCAGGACCTGCTGTAGAGCAAGACTTGCTTTACGCACCTGAAACTCATCGTCATGAAAATAAAAGGGTTTGCCCCTACCCTTTGAAACAAACCAACAACTAGTTTTGCAGTGAGGACGGCTCTTAACAGCTTGCAATCAGTATTTTTCCCATCTGTGGATATTAGAAATATGCTGAGCTACAAGTCTGATTTGACCAAAGTACTGAATATGTCAATAATTGCAGGGAAAGCCTGAACATCACTTAAAAAGATAAAAAGAATAAGCTTAAAAGCAACTTCAGACTCAGGGTTCCCTGTAATCAGCCTTTGTGTAATATTCAGAGAAAGCTTTAGCGATAGGCGTTTCAGCATGGTAAATACATATTAGCTGGTGCCCCCTCCTTTCCAGGACACCATTGTCAGTGCTGCAGTGGGAAGTCACGTCAGCTGAAGGAAAGGAAATGCATTTTGATACTAATGAAGTTGGTCAAGCTGTCCTGTCATGCAGCCTTCAAGTTCAATCCCAAAGAATTTACATCTTGCATGCCAAAGGGTTTGGCATTCATGGATAGCATAGCGGGAGGAGCTGAACCAGCGCGGTACAAAAATGCCCTCTGGTCGGGTGACCGCACTAG